CAAGTCCCCCCCCCCCCCCCCCCCCCTCCGATGATACTTTCGAACTCGGTGGCGTTCCGACGGCTCAGGATCTCGGCGAGATCCAGGGAGTATACAACGGGGGTGTCCTCAACCCGGTTCATTCCAATTCCAACAACAACAGTAACAGTAATCAGGACGACGGCAGAGGAGGCAAGGCAGGTGGTGTGACTAAGGGCGGAGCTGGTCCCACCCGAAGCAACATGGGATCGAGAATACCACCCAACAGTGGAAGGCTCGGGCAGCAGTAGCATGAGGTCACTCTTGCCTGACGGTTCGTTGTTGTGGTGTAGTAGTCGAGGCAGAGCGTGTGCCACGAGAAAGCACAGTACAAAGGACCACGGTCTGATCACCTTGGGAAACGTGGACATCACAAGAAGGGCAACTCGCTGCAGACAATTCATCTATCGTCTACTCGAGGGGTAGCGGAATATTGCACAGTCATCACATTGGTAGTCATCCCCTGATTTACCGGCGCAAACAGTCTATCATTCAGCTAGTTGGGATCGAGGGGAGAACAAATTCCGCTTCTGAATAAAGATATCATGTACCAATTCCAAAATCTGTCGATCGGCAACCCAACACTACAACTTTACAGTTTACAACACGCAACCGGAACTAAGCAAGAACGAAAACGCAAAGAGGCAACCACGATGGACTCGTTGTGTCCACACACAGTCGAAATCGCAAACCACACCGTCTGCTTACACCAATCTGTAGCTCTTCACAACACGGCATAGGCATCCTGTTTCATAGATTCACAGATTAGCAACGCACCACATCACATGTCAACGATGTACAATAGGAATTTAACGGTCGGTCGGACTTCACAGTCAACCTCCGACAAGCGCTAGCAGACGAATCACGTACGCCTGCTCGATACATACACATCTTGATACATACACGTGCTCTAAGCAATCACACGTGGCCTGGAAGTTGTCACTATTGTTTCTGTCCCCAACGTCCAGAAACCAAGACGTCACTATCGTGTCTCTGCGGAGCTACCGTCTGTAGCGGTACTGGTGGTTCCCGAGACCCCTCCACCGTCTTCCGCAGGAGAAGACGAATCTGCAACAAACACGCGAGTAAAGGCAAGGAATAAGGAGACAGCCTCAACCCAAAATGTACGGACACAAAAGAAAAGGGGCTGCGACATCAACAACTAGACGGTAATCGAAGCATTTGAATGAGACGACCTTGCTGTTACTATTGTTGTTGCCTTCACTCAAAAAAAAACGACGCGAACAGAACCGCAATTCGATGGGCTCCTATCATACGGCTTCTGCAGCCGTAGTCCCCGTACCAGCGGACAATACCGGTCTATCCAAGTCATCTTGCGGCTACCAGCCTCGCAACAGAAAGATTTAATACACACAGGTGTTGGATGGCTCTTTCGTACCCATTAATCTACAAACGGAGGAGGGTTGTCATGCTGGAAGAAGAGCCAACAAACAGAAACATTTCGACAGTGGTCCACGTGTCATGTGATACACCCGCGCACACAATCCTCACCGTCAGTATTGTCTGGAATCGACGACGACAAGTCCAGCAGGTTGTCCAAGCGACCTTCGTTGCTACTAACCTCCCCCAGCAGCCTCTCCAACTCCTGTGCGGTTTCTCGGTTGCCCCCATCCTTGACAGACACCTCCACGGCTGTAGCAACCTTGATCGCGTCGGCGCCACCAGCTGCACTTCCTCCAACAGACCCCATTAGACTTTGGAAGGTGTCTGAGACCCACCGTCGTTTCTTCCCTCGCCGCTTTCCTTGTGGGAAGGTCGACATTGGATTGCAAACGTTTTTGGACGCATCGTTCGCGTTTTGCGAGGGAATCTCCGCAACCTGCACCTCAGAGTGCGGTGTCGCAACGTTTTGTTCGGTCCATGAGCCCAAACCCAGGAGTCTTTTGATTTGCCTGCTGCCCCACTTGACATCTTCGGCGAGCTTCTTCGCTTCTTCGCCAACGTCGACGGTTTGCGGCATCTTCTTTTGAATTTTCGACGCAAGCACGGTCATCTGAATACAGTTCCGGTACGTTGCAGCATGAGAGAGAGAGGGAGAGGGAGAGAGAGAGAGAGAGAGAGAGAGAGAGAGAGAGAGAGAGAGAGCGA